ATCTTTTATTCTCTCTCTCTCTCTCTCTCACACACACACACACACACACACACACACACACACACACACACATCCTCTGACAGAAAATGGCCAAGTAAAGATTGGTTGTTTATCGAGTACGGAGGCAGAGCAATTAGAAGAAGAAAAAAAAAATTATGTGTGCCTTTGGCAAAGGAGGTGTTCCTAATCATCTATGCAAATATTTATAATCCTTTAAGGATTCTTGCAAAACCTTTGTATAAACCGAGAACTTTATGGAGAAGGACTTAGGTTTTTGGAGTCCAAAAAAATAAACTCTTATATACAACCTGAACTGTTCCACAATGGATTTCACTTTAAATATACTGAGCAGCTCTTATTACTTGGCAAAGCTCGTTTGCATCTGCTGCCTCCCTTGCTCCGCCAGCAGTCTGATGAGATGTGCAAAGTAACCAGACCAGTAGCAACATGTCGCATATATAGTTCTTTATGGATTTCAAACATGTTTTCCCATGTATCTTCTTTTTGAAATCTTTCCAAGTTGAAAACTATTATTAACCATCTTTGTGGGTTGTTATTTTTTGTTTGTTTTTTTTTTTTCAGCAAATTAAGAAGGAGGCCATTGGTGGGTGATGGGATATAAACATCTATGAGCTACCCGTCTTGACCCAATAGTAATAACAGCAGTAGTGGTAATAACAAAAGTAATGGTGACAGGTACCATGGTTTGAGGACCAAATATACAGGAGTGGGCAAAAGGAGATTTACGGTTGTTCATAAGAAAATAGTACAATAATTAATAAATAATAATACAAGAGTAAACTCTGTTTCACATACAACTGTAAAACAACTTTTGTATGACAGACGTTCTCCTAAGTGCTTTTTGAAGTTGTTCTGAATACATTTCTTGGTGATATTTTTTTCACAAAGTGCACATTCTGGCTGGTGGCCCAAGGGTTGTGAATAACTATTCACCAATCACATCTGTTTGTTCTGCCCATAAACAAAAACTTTGTCAGATTTCCTTGAATTTCACTCTCTTTCTCACTCTCCAGTTCAATACGAGTTTTGCCACCTAAGTCAGCTGGCTTTTTCAACCTAAATATCTCTGCATTCATGCCTGTGATTCATTCTGACCTTTCAGGTCAGTTGTTTCCTTATCCCCATTTTACAGAAGAGAAAACTGAGGTTCAGAGCTTTTTAATAACTTGATCAAGTCCATGTGGCCAGTAAAGGGTGGAGCTTGGATCCGAACATAAATCTCTTCAGAGCCCAAATCTATCTGTCTCCAGAGCCTATGATCTTAATAATAATAGCTACCATTAGTTGAGGACTTACTTATCAGATTCCAGGTACTGTGCTTTATCTATGTTATCGTTCAATCTTCCCAACTCAGCAACCATATACAGTAGGTACTGTTCTTACCCCCACTTCTATAATTGAGGAAACAGAGACTCAGAGAGGTCATACAACTTGCCCAAGGTCACAGTGCTCATGAATGAGCTGTCCGAAGCAATTCAATTCCAGATTCCAAGCTGTTACTCAGTATGTTAAACTGCTCCCCAAAATTGGGATTCAGAAAAGTTAAAGAATTTATCAAAGACCATAGGTCAGCTAAGGACAGGACCGGGGCCAGGACCTAACTCCTCACATTGGATTGTATCTGAAGCATGTGGTGGTCTTAACCAGTCTCCATTACAGGCCAATTATACTCTTAGGCCTGACATCACCCTGACTCTGTGTGAGTCCCTTCCACTCCATCTAGTGATTTCACTCCAGCGATTCCCCAGTGCTGTGTCCACACCTCTTCCATAGCTACCACCGCGCTGATGGGGGACGGACGGATCCTTCGCCTCCCACCCCCATTTAGTCTCCAGTCCCTAAGTTGATCTGCTGTCTCAGGAAGTTCAGACAGACTGATTACCGTACAGTCTGGGCTGCTAATAACCAAGGGAACCCCCCAAATTCACCCAGTGCCACTGTGACTTCCTATCTTTTGAAACCAGACATTTCAAACTAATAGAAGCAACAGTGCCAGACAAATCTTGCCCATCCCCCCTCCCTGATAAATTTTACTCTATTGGCGGCAATTCATCACCTCCAGATGTTTTAGGTTAAGATTGGGAAAGTTGTGTTTTTACTGGATTGAATCACAGAGCTTGGCTGACATTTTTTGGCCCTTTGTACACCCCTTAGATTTATCAGCTAATTGCAGACACTTTGAGAGAATAATGCAGCATGTGTTTATGATGACAAACCCTGCTAGTGTGTCTCTGTGGTCGAAGATTCACGGGAGTTTCCTTTGCTGACCCCTGGTTAAGTATTAGAGTTGGATCAAAAACACTGGTTCAAAGTCAAGAACTTACATGGGTAAAAATATTTCATTTATGTGTTTTGGTGGAGTTGGGGATGGGGACAGAGTAGCTCCAATAACTCAATTTTTATTCTTAAACTGTTTTTGAAATCTTTTGTTTTGGATGAGAAAATGATTAGGGAATGCCAAATGCCTTAAGAATTTTATTTAAAACATCAAAAAAAAAAAAAAAAAAAAAGCTTCATGGTTGTTCTAATGCCACTATTTAGTAAGCTTCTCCATATGGGTGAACTCTGTTTCTTCCAATGTGGCCTGTTTGAAGACTTGCCTGAGGACATGTTGATGAGGGTGGCTCAGTCATTGTAACCACTGGCCGAGGTGGCCCTTCAGGCAGGAAGAGCCCAGTGACAGCAGATTGGGGGAGAGGTTGAACCATCATCAGGATTCAAGTCAGACAGTTGTCATCTAGGATTTGAGTTACTGCACTTTAAGATCTTGGTAAGCCCCAGTCCTAGGACTTGGCTGCATACACAAGAGACCCAAAGGACTGGACCAACCCTAGCAAAGGGGAGGATGGAGAAGCCAGCAGGGAAATATGGATGCCCAGGATCTGTCCTTGAGGCGCCTGATCCAAAGTCAGAGTGACAGTAAAGGGAACTCAGGAGCTAGTGGTGATACCAGGTCCCCAGAGCCAGCTGTGTGAGGACCACTGACTCTAACAGAGAGGGGCACTGCATGTGGGGATTCGGCACACGAATCACTCTACAGTTGGAACAGGTTTGGGGACTCGCAGGAACTGAGGCTGCCCCTGTGTTTGGGGTGGGGCAGAGGAAGCTAGGTAAGCCAGAGGCTGAGGAAGGAGGACAAAAGCTGACAGAAAGACACCAATTGCTTCCTCCCGTGAAATCCGGGGGAAGCTGAAAACAAATAGAATCAAAATATGCCTTTAAATTGTACGAGCGTAGGAAGGAATGTCAGGAAAAGTAGCTGGAAATCTGAATTTTAGAACTGTCAATAAAAAGAAACACTGCTTTTTATGACTTTCAGGTATACAGAGTTACCTAAAACACATGGTTGGGAAGGATCTGTTTCAGTGACTGCATTTCAATGTTTTGTCATTTGCACATGAGATAAAGATTTTTCTGAAGTATGTTGTTCATTTCTTTTCACAATGCTTCTCTGTGAGGACTCCCAGATTTCTCTCTGGAATAGGTAAATATTATCTCTTCAGAGAAACTGGCTCATTTTTATTCTACAGATTGAGAATGTCATATATATTGCCTGTCCTCATGCACTACTAGACAGCTTAGATGTAAATCCATGAGCTTCTCCTAGCAAGGAGATAAACTCCTCACAGTATATTTTTCCTGTGATGTTCTTACTCCTTACTTCATCTTCCTCTTCTTTTCCCTTAATCCATTCCCTCCCCTTTCGTAATTGTTGTATCTTTTATTTGATTGTAACCCATGGTGTCCATTTCACTGAAGCTGGAAGAAAGCAGTATACATAAATAACTACATCCACACACACATAAGAGGGTTTCTCAATGCAAAAGATGCTTTTTCTTTTACTGACTTAAGTGTCATAATTTCACTATCAATTCCTCTAAAAAATGCCCCTTTCATAAATAGAAACCTGGTTTCCTTCAGTCCTCTGATTCATCTCAGTTTCCAAAGTAAGGCCCAAATAAAGATACTACATTTGCTTGATAAATTAACTCAGTGTCCTATATTTATTTTAAATGCTTGGTTGAAATTTTATGACAAATATGAAATAAGAGACGGGATTTAGAAATTGTGGAGAGAAGCTTAAACGCTACCAGTCAAATATCCTGCTTTGACCAGAAGCCTTCTTCATTGACTCCCTACGAGGTCATGGGATCTCCCCATACACTCCAGCCAACCCTACAAGACTGTTTTGGGGGGAAGGCTACATTTCCACTTAAGTAACACTAGAGGATCCTCCCGAAGACTGGGGCACCCCAAAGCAGCCTCTAAAACCCTCTCCCTCCACTTCTTTCCAGACTTTTCTAACAGGAAAGGGAACTCTGAGTCCAGTCATCTGAAAATGATCCATAGAGGGTTGCCCATCTCTCTCCTACTCTCCAGCTTTATCTATTATCACTCTTTCCTTTTTCTACTTTTTAAGTTCCTTCTGTTCCAGCTAAAGAGATTTATGTACTTCTACTTTCTCACCTTTGCTCATGCCATTCTCTGCCTGGACCCTAACACTCCGCTCCATTTGGCTGAGTCCTACCCTCAGCACCCACCTCTTCCCTGAAGTCCTTCCCTATGTACCAGACCTCAGTGATCTCCCCCGTGAACTTCATAGCTCTTGCTGTCTGCCCCTTCATCCGAGCACCTGCCACCTCGGACTGGCCATTGTTATTTATCTTTTTGATTGTGAGACCCATTTCCCTAACAAGATGTCAAACCTCTCCATAGCTAAGTCTGGCATATCAATAAATATCTGCTGAAAGAACAAATGAATGAATAATTCTTATGGCTTTTGGGACACCCAGAAGCATCTAACACAACATTGGTTCACTGAATGTTTGACTTTAAGGATACTAGTAAAGTGCTCGCCACCCACCCACCACTGCACCATAACATCCTTGACTCTTCCTATCGTGGTAACTAAAAGCAAACCTTACTTCTGTGTTTTAACAAATTAAGCTGTGCTTTGACTTTTTTATTTTCTCTCCTAGATTCTGAAGAAGTCCTGCATTGAAATTCTAGCAGCTGAACCATCCACCATATGTGCAGGAGGTAATTGAAATTAAGTGCTAATTGCTCTCATACAAATGCTATTTTGAGTTCAACTCACACGCTGACCTCCTTGATGGGAAGAGGGGAAGCAAAGCAAGAAGGAGGAGGGTGGAGAGAGGAGGAGAAGTTGCTAAATATATTTGCTTTTAGGGAAAGAAAGAAGCAACATGTCAGTTGTTTGAAACTTTGAAAATGTCTCTCCAAACTCTTTTCATGGGATTAATTGTGACAGTATTGCAGAAATACTGGATTCTCACCCGTTCCCACCAACACCCTGCTCTGGATAGAAGGGGCGTCTGATCCTCCGTGCTCATGGCAGCCCTGCAGGTGCCACGTGATCACAGCGACCACAGGCCCCCCCTGGAATGTTGCTATATTTAATTATTTCATTGGTGCTGGCCTCCATAATTAACATCTTGATCTTAATTAAGTGCTCAATCTACCAGTCCTCACAAATAGTGTAGGCAATTTCAATTGTCCTAGTAAAGGACCGTTATAATTTTGTCCTTTATACAAGAAATCTCTACTTATACACGGAACCAGCCTTCTCTGAATCACAATATTTTCTCTAACTGACCCAAAGTGGGGTCTTGTTATTTTGTATTATAACAGATTGCCTAAAATGTCAACCATGCTGGCTCTTTTTGTATAATTCCTGACAGGTTTCCCATTCTTATTTATTTAAAAAGTATTATTAAGCACCTGAGTGCCAGGCACTGTCCTGGGTGCTGGAGACAAGAGGACCGACCCTCTTGTCGAGCACCTGTGCCCCTGGAGCTCGGGTCTTTCACCTCTGAGCTCTCACTGTTAATATCACCTTTCTAGTCTCCCAAATACCAAGTGCCGGTTAGGAGTTTATCATTGAAAATGTATTATACAATTCTATAAGCATTAAAGAAGAACTTTCAGGCTTTTTCAAATACTGTACATTGATTCTTTATGACATATTTTATCGGTATAGATGAAGGAATCCCTTAAAGATTTCATTCCAGTTTGTTGGCTATATTTTAGAATAGCTGAAAGACTTTCAAGGAATTCGAGGCACTGAATAATATTTGCCAACAATAAAACACTAAGTATATATGTAAACATATAAAGTTGTTAACTATACTTGATGACTATTCAGAGATATGTATAAATTTCCCAAAGAAAAGCAATCAACCAAGATTATCTACTGACCTTTAAATATTACTACCCGGTAGGACAGATGGCAGGGACAGTTACAGTTGCCACAGGCACAGATCCAAGAGAACCTCTTTAAGAAAAGAAATTGAGGCTCTGGCCAGGTAGCTCAGTTAGTTAGAGCATCGTCCCCATAAACCAGGGTTTGATCTCCGGTCAGGGCACATATAAGAATCAACCAATGAATGCAAAGTTAGTAGAACAATAAATCAAAGTCTCTCTCTCTCTCTCTCAAAAACCAAAATCAATAAATAAAGAAAAGGAATTGAAAAATCTTACCTTTGCAAATTTGAAAAAGCCTATGACCACATAAACCCAGTGCCAGAGACTTGTAAGGGGTCTGTGCAGTGAGGAGCCTCAGCAAGCATTCATTAGCTTCAAGGTAAACCCGCCTCCACAATTTTTATAGTTCCTTCTTTTAAAAATAATGGGAAAACAGGGGAGTTCCTTAATTGTACAATTATCCCATTCATGAGGAAAACCCAGACATGCAGTTCAGCAGTTCTGCTGAATGTGTTCCTACCTTGTAGTGAATCAGAGATCTAATGACAATGAATACACTTCTGTCAATGCATTAGCATAATCAAGTGCCCTCCTGTAGTGTTCTTGAGGACAGATAAAGAATTCTCTTCACTTCCTAATGGAGTACGTGGCACTTAACAATTAGTCAATGAACGTTGACTGAATGTCTTGATTCACACATTCCTTCAGAAACAATGCACTGAGTTTTGCCTATTTGACCCTTAACTTCTTTCACTTCACCTTAAGAAGTTATCATACCTTGGAACTGACTAATTAAAATGAAGAAAAATTAGAAAATGATAGCCAAAGACAGAAAGAACAAGGACAAAATAAAAACAAAAATTCAACTTGGACAATAGAAAAGTATCTGCCTAAATAATTCTTGAATCAAACATTGGTAAACCAAAATCTCTTTTACATACCATTGAGACAATAAAAAGGACCACATGTGTAAAATGAATATGCCCCAGAAATGTCAGGGCCCACAAGAGCGGATCCTAGCAAATTCATTGATTTTAATATATTTCTTATTAAATGTAAAAGAAAAATAAATAAGTGAAAGATATTTTTTTTAAAAGCCAAGGGAAATACAAGAAAAAATATAAAAATGCATTAATAAATTTAAACAGGTTAAAGCAATTTGCTCGCTAAATTTTCCAAGAGCTGTTTCTTTGATAGAATCAATAAAATAGACAGGTCTCTGGCTAATCTAATCCAAGGAACCTTACTTTAGATAACTTTTAAATCTCTGGCTTATGTGCAATGTGACATTTTATAGACAAACCACCATTTCCTATGTCAGCATAAATTATCCAATTCTATTTCTTTTATTTCTTATAAAGAAAAAAATAATACAGGACACAGTGATGGAAGCTAGCCCTGGGTTTTGAAAGAACCAAGCTCCATGTCTCTTGAGTTAGAATCAAAATGGCTAAACCATGCTGATTAGAGAATAACTTTACCAAGAAGAAAATGAAACTTTCAAAAGAAATTCTTATACCAAAAGATCTTCCTGGATTTCTTTTGAGGTCTACTGTTGATCATTCTCTGGGGTGAGCATGGCTTTCATGAAGACTGGACCCTATTTTATTATCCGTGACTATGACTCTTCCTCTGTGATTTTCTTCAGGCTGCTGCCAGGACTCGGGGGTTTACATGAAAGTGCTTTGAAAAGCATACACTGTCATACAAAACAAGGTGACCGTAGTATCATCAATATCATTTTACTGAGGATTAAAGGTCAATGTGAGAATCTTAATGTTGATAGCATTGTACCTATACGAGAAAAACATGCCTGCATGTTTCTCTACTGAAAAAATATTGGGGAGAACATTGACAGAGTTCAGAGTACCTGCAAAATGATGAAATAACTCATGTGCTAGAAGAAAAAGTAAACAAGGAAATGACTGTCTGGCCGGTGTGGCTCAGTGGTTGAGCGTTGACCCATGCACCAAGAGGTCACCGGTTCAATTCCCGGCCAGGACACATGTCCAGGTTGTGGGCCTGATCCCCAGTGCAGGGCATGGGGGAGGTGGCCAATCGATGTTCTCTCTCATCAATGTTTCTATCTCTCTCTCCCTTTTACTGCCTCTCTCTAAAATCAATGAAGAAAAAAATTTTTTTAAGGAAAAAACAAGGAATGACTTCATATTTCTAAGTATGATAGTGAGACTAAGCCCTAGATAGATCTGGGGGTGGGGGATAGAGTTTGCTTTCATCCATAACCTTTTCTCTTAGCCCCCTCCTCTCAGTCTCTGACTTAAGTTCCCTCCCTGGGCCCCCAGAGCAGCCCCTGCTATGGAGCCCGCACCCAGGCCTGTCCGCTCAGGTCACTGCTGACCCTGGTCTCAGCCGGCACGCCCACAGCTCCACAGCACGCGGCAGAGAGACGATGCGCCGAGTGGACAACAGGCCTGAGATCCAACACGGGTCTTTATATGTTGGGCTGCAAATAACAGTGTGGGATTTAATGGAGCAAATATAAAATGTTGAACTTGGGTTTAAGTAGCCAGTTTTACGTACAAGCAGGTATAGGGAAACCTGACTTAGTTAATATGAGGGGAAGGAAAAAATGAGGAGAATCTTTGCTCTCTTGGTCAAGTTTGTTTCTGACAAAAAAAAAAAAAAAGCTGATGTAGTCTTAGGATGAATCTATAGTCATTTAGTGTCCAGGTCAAGAGAGCTAATTCCATGTCCTACTCTTTCAGAACAGGGACCCTGGTTCCAAGTTCTATATTTTAATAATGACATTGACAAAAACATGTCCATAGGAGAAGAGGTGACCTGGAAACCACCTGCCATAGGTTATACACTGGCAGCCTACAAACCCTGTCTGGTCTACACATATGTTCTTTTTGATCCACACTGTTTTTTTTTTTTTTTTAAAGAAACCTTAAATTTATTACTATCATTTAAAAATCTGATTTCACCTAACAATTCAGATTTGTGTCTTGTCTTGAAAAATCAGACCTAGCAACACTGGGCCAGTATTTATTGCAAGATAATAATTATTGAAGACTGAATAACTTCCCTTTAAAAGAAGTATGTGCTCTTTGAAGTTCACCATACTCCTCACCACTCCCTATTGTCACCTTATACTCAGAACAAGCCTATGGTCGCCATGTAGCATGGTGCTCTGTCACTGTATTTACAGTCCCTGTTCTAAAATGTAGGAAAGCAACTGCTGTATGCAGAGCCTTTATAGCACCTTTGACATTATCTGCATTTAAATAATTCTGCTTCCCTTCTAATACCAACTCTTTGTTTAAGGTTCCTAATTAAATACTTCCGCAGATGAGTCTCTGTATAATTAGGAGAACTGCCGTACTGTTGGATAGGCCCTGCTTAGTTTAGCTCCTTTGTAGGAAATGCACCCTTTTGTCTAAGCACAGTTTTCCTCGGGCCCCACTCAGCTGGCCGTAAACTTGAACGGCTCACAGTGTGCTATGGAAGCAAGCAGTCCAGGAAGGAACTAATTGGAATCAAGTGTGCAACCTGCCAACTGTTCCACATTTGAAGTTTTTGTAGTCCAGAAATGGAAGGAGGTTATAATCAGCTTCTCACCTTGTCATTTCAGAAGCAGTTGTATTAGTCTTGCTGTGTTGTTTCCCAACGTTTGTAATAAAACTGGGTGAGGTAACAGAAAAGGGAGATGGTTTTAGGCTTCGCGTTTACCATTTGGAAATTAGATGCTTAAAAGCAGACACATGTAAGCAACATCAAATAGTGGTTTCATTTCTTTCCCTTTTCATTGTTTTTCAAAGCACTCATACCTGGCCCTTAGACCCCTCTCTGGA